GAGTTATATTTATTATTCACTTTGCTCCAGGCATTTCACATGATCTCATAGAAGCTAGATCAGGTTGGGTCATGAATAGACGCTTGCTTTCTAAATCTACTTAACTCTATAAACAAAGCGAAAGGAATTGAATGGGATCAAACTCCGGGGTCGGCACAGGACAGGTTTACAATCGGTCAGTGCTAACTGCAAACATTTTTTTAACTATCTAAATTCTGTTAGAGCAGCCAGCATTTTTGGAGGCCTCTGATACAACACTGCAGGAGTTATCAAGGAAACTACTTCCCAAGTTAGAAGAAGAGGAGAAAATGGAGGAAAGGTTTTACTGTCTGTTGGACATATCAGGAGAAAATTAAAATCATAGACTTTATGGGAGACCAAAGAGGAAGAGGGGGGAAAAATCTAAAACAATGAAGTTGCTGTTTGCCTCTAATTAAAAACATTGACTGCTACTGCCTACTGGAAGATCAAACATCTTGACTGGGAAAGAAGGGGCAGGAGAAAGCCTCAGTTGTTCCAGGCTGGCATTAAAAATCGCGTAGAATGCTTACCGGCATATATACTTTCATTACTGACTTTCTCCCCTCGTTTATCTGTTCTATAGTTCTTAAATGAATATGTATAGTAGCACACAGTATGCGCAAGGAGATTTAACAGCACATTTTAAAGGTGTCCTATGGAAGAAAGAGTCCTTTTGGCTTGTGACATGAGATCAAGAGATAAACAGTATAATGTAAAACTAATTCCAACAAGGCTGTAATCCCAATTAAACAGAAGTCGAACTTTCATTGCGATGTGGATAACTGTAATGATATCAGAATGGGATATACTACTAGCAATAGTGACTACAATGTTTTTCAGACAGTGATTTCTTGCTAATGAATAGTAGTACAAATCTCTTTATAGCACAGAGTTATCTAAGGTTGAGAGAAATAAAAAACGACAGGTACACAAGCTCTTCTAAAACCCAATATAGCAACCAATGCATAAGTATACTGGTTTTATATAAATGTTAAATAAAAGTTCAGCTATTTGTTTCTACTTTTCTTCCAACTTGCCCAATTTCAATACATTCAAGTACCTCCACGGCAGTTTCCTTTTCTTACTCCCATGGTCATCTTTTCTCTAGCTAAAACCTCAATTATCTTGTCCACTTACAATGAAGAAGGCTTTCTATGTTGACATTTAGAAGATTTTCAAATGGGCAACTAGAAGGCAAAGTCTTAATTCCCATTGCATTCACAGTCAGCTGCACAGTTTTCTAACACTGTCCTGGTAACCACAGCTTTAAGTAATCATACTTAAAGTGCATTCAAAAAAACAGATAGAAAGAAAGGTCATTATGCCAAGGACAGTAGGGCAAGATTTGAGGTCCTACTTTCCTATGGAAACTTGAGAGTATACTATGCTCCTGACAGCCATTCCACTTAACTCATAAACCTAAATATATTTAGGAGTTTAATTTTAGGTGTCTATTCTCTTATTACCCTAGTTTTTTACTATTTTAGTGGAGAGACGTTAAGGATAAGGGCTACAGTTATGTCATACACAGCTTACAATGTTTTTAGTTTTACAAAATGTGAACACACTTCATTTGTCACTGGTAATTACAAATAAACAAAGCTGATTTATATCAGCTCTAAGACTTTTGTTCTACCTTAATTTTAGTAGAAATCTTTGTTATGGATTCACTGTAATTCTGCTCCAAACATAGAACTTTACTAGCTAAATTTCCAGTGGGCAATGCTTCCACTGAAAGTCTGAAAAGGAAGGTAACATTCTAAAACCTGTGAAATGGCAATGTCATCAAATACCTGTCATAGTGTTTTATATGTAAACAAAAATCCCTCAAATGAAATTAGCAACAATATTTTCCTCAGAGTCTGCTGACAAAATGAAACCCTTATCAGATGGGCACACCTTAACTTTGAAATTATACAGCTGCTGGTTTATCAGCAGATAGATATTCTGACTTCTCTAAAAATCTCCTTTTCATTAGTGTGTGGAGAAGGATGCAAGGAAGTAACCATTAGCAATGTGTGAAACAAACTGCTTAGGTTCTTATTCAGATGTTAAACTATCACTTGTAAGTTGGACCTATGACATCTATCTAGCACAAAGTCTACATTATGATACAATGAACATCTTTCCTATGGATAATAATTCCTATGCATTCCACCAGGTGTATTACAAATAATGCACTTTGCTAAATAGCTTCTCCCCCAGTGCACTTTTTAGGGGAGATAAAAGTTAACAGAAACTTTCAATTGAAATTGGAACTCTATTTGGAAGTATTCAGCCAACAACAAAAATTCAGAATAACATAGGAATGGTCATGTTCCAGCTAGTCTAATGAAGGATTTGGTTGCAGTCCTTGGAAGAGTTTGAATAACATGTTTAATTAATTCATAATAGGTCTGACCTTGTGTGTTTCTAACATAGATGATACCTTACCAGTACAATAATGAGATAATTTGCCCTTGCTGCCCTGTAAGTCATGTTCAATGGAAGATCATGAAGGGAATACCCTGCATCTGACTCCCTGTGGTAAAAAGAGATCAAAAACTAAACAAAAAATAAAAAAATAGGTGGACTGGTCTACATATATGAATGTAACTCAATACATATACTGATGTAGCTCACTCAGATGCTGCCTTTCTCATTCAGCCACTGCAAAAGCCCAATACTGCAGTTGGTTTAACAGAGCTGAATAAAGACTTGTTAACTTTGAGGGCTGCTATAGGGTTGGCTTTTCAGCTGGTCTGGATCAGATTATTGTTCAATTGCCTTTTGACAGCAAGTACATGAATTTTCTAGAATCTTTTTGTACTTTCAGCAAATGTTTGCTGAAGGGGCTAGCTCATCCTTAATTTTGACAGCTAGCCTGTGCTAAATAGTGAAAAGTGAAAAATATGGTGCTAGGCAACCAAACTTATACTGTTGTCCTTATCACAATTTCTTTATAGAGGATTATTTAATAAACTGTACACTTCTGAAATTTTAGGCTTGCATATGCCAGAGGCTTTCAATGATCATTTATTTCTTGTACTTTAAAGACAGGATTGAGGAAGACGCAAAAATCTGAGGAACCAGCCTGGGAGCAGGATTCAAACAGAAAAGTAGATAAAGCAGATGTTTTCCATTCTAGAAGCTAACAATAAGATAAACAAATCTTTTATTTTGTAATGGGTAGTCTCCACAAAAGCTAGGAAAGCAAAGTTAGTGTGTCAGAGTGTAAAGGCAGAACACAGCAAAGTTTAGAAATCAACAGGATTGTAGGATGAAAAAAAGATTAAGTAATTCTATAGAAAATAATTCATCATCATACATTAGTATAGAAAATATTTGCAACAATATATCTGAAGTAGTGTTTAGTTAAGCCATATTTCATGTAGGGTCTGATAAGTACTTCTGTTTCTTGCACATTGATTAATAGAAATGATTGCATGAAATATAGATTCATATTACATTGGAGAGACTTTATCCATCAGTGTGCATACATATTTCAGAGCTGTTTCAGAAATTGGTACAATTCTCAGACTTACATTTGCATAATGACATTGAATTTATTTTGAAATGTTTATTACACTTCTATTTGGCACTTCGGTTCAGATCCTTGTAAGTATTTAGAAAGCTAACTGCAAATGCAGGAATCATAGTTCAGTTTACGTGTGATGGGGAGGACAGCTTAGGAAAGAGCCGTAACGACTGCAGTAAGTATTTATTATTGACTGATTACGGGCATGTAATTCAGAACTTCCAGGCTACCGAGAGAGAACCAGAATTAGGCAAATTTTCTCTAGTTTCAAAGTCAGTTGTTTTTAAATGGCACTTCAGATCAGGTTTTTGGTATCCAAAACAATCTATTCAGTAGCACTGAGAGACACGGCAATGCTGCTAGTCAAAATACTTTTCCTGGGATGCTCTTTTGTTAACAGAGTGTTACAGAGATAGACGCATCCTAGGCCCCTATTATGAAAATCCTACAGCATGGGGAACTTTCGTATAGACATAATCCTGGAGGATTAGGATAGGATCCAAGGACACCAGGGCAGTGATCATGACACAGCAAAGCATGTAGCTAACTGCAGAAGCACAGGAAGGAAAAGGTGTGTCTTGCTTTTGTGGTGACTCAGGTTGTACACAAATGGGGCATGCAGTTCTTCTAAAAACTGATCCACCATGTTCAAGCTTTCTAACCCTAAACTTTAACATTAGTACTTTGAAAGAAAACAGTTTCCATCACTGACAATTTTTCAGTGGTTCACTAATCAGGGCATGTATCTAAATAAGTACTTTCCTCATATAACATTTAAATTGTTTGCTATCACTGTATAGTTATGTATTTTGAGAAACACAGTCAAGATAACAAAATAGTCATCACAGGACCATATTTCAATTAACAAATAGCAACATGCACAGTTACTAATTTTAGTCTATAATATGAAAATGCCTTGGCTTCATTCAATGTTTTACAATTATTTATAAGGCAAAGACAATTCAGATTTATTTTTTATACTTCGTGCATTAAGCTAGTAAGATAAAAAGTCTGCAAGCTTTTCCAGAATCACCTAACCCAAATAAAAAACACGTAAGTTCTTATAAAACTAGTAAATGGCATAGACATTCTCTTTGAACCAGCCTCTTAGTAGAAAATGAGCATAGATTTCTAAACTTAATATATCAAGAATGACCTTTGTCTAACTACTAGGTTGATCTCAAAGAATCCTTAACACAAAAAAGGCACCACGATTATTACAAACCTAATCTACAAGCAAACCTGTTTACAATCTTAACTTCCTTCGATGACAGCTGTACTTCATACCAGTAAGAGAATTATGCTAGTTTGCCATATTCAGACTTGTTCATGTCTGAATATTGATTTATTGAATATTGATTTATTGATTTATGTCAACCATATTGATTTTAAAGAACAGCAATGTGCACAAAATGAACAGTATTTACAACAGTAATTATCATTAGCTCTAATCATCACTTACTCTTGATCCTTTTTCTGGGAAGCACCGACAAACTGAACAATCCTGTCCCCCACATGGGTCAATATATGCATATCCTCCCTAAAAATTAAAAGTTTATAGGTTTATTAATATGCAACAGACAACAATCAATTCATCAAATATTGTCAACTGGACATATTGTCCGATTAGATGATTTTTAAGGCAAAAGATTTGGCTACCCTTACATACCCACAGGGAAATTTCCTGCT